AAAGAAACTTATATATATGATATATATATATATATATATATATATATATATATATATATATTCGTGTTATATATAGCATCTTATATCATCGTGATGCAGTCTAAGCGTTTAATGTAAAAAGTGTTTGCGCGTGTGCGTTTGATCGTCCTTGAAGAATTATCCGGCAGGTGTCACCGACGTATAATAGAAATAGCACAAGCGGCGGGATAATAAACTGCATGATTTAATCCTGCAACGGACAGCGAATGGGATTAAGAGCGGAGATTGCTGGAAAAAAAGAGATACGTTGAAAGAGAGAAAAGAGAAGAATAGATCAAGAATTTGGTGGATGCATGTGCGCTGCTGTTAGCCGTGTTTCGAGGGAAAAAAGCAAGGTTAGGGAAGATAAAAATTTCGACAAATCTCTCGCACCAATTGAAAAAGTATGGCGAGAATCGTAGCGATCAAGGATACGCTGGAAAAAGCATTAAACGACGAGGGAAAAACTTGGACACGATATCTAATTTTGGCCGAAAGGAAGACTGGCGTAGATAGGTTATACATTTTCGTAGGTGAGCTATTTTATCAATTATCTTTTAGGTTATGATCCTTGTCGCCTTAAAATAAACGTGCCCACTTTATCCTGATTGATTCGCTTTTTCTACTCCAAGCGACTCGTCAATAATTTTTTTACATAAAATAAACAGTAAATTTCGAATAATCATTGTCAAATTTATCCCTATGTATTTGTTTTGCTTATAATCGACCTGGTGATTTTACTTAATAATTGCTCCTGGTGATTCGGTGTCTAGTCGGTATTGAATTGTTACCTCTTATAAATAATTATATCCGATCAAAATTTGCGCGTGTAAATTAATTATAGATTCTATTGTTTTTGTATTATTATTTATGGTTATGAAGTACCACTTATGCAAGTCATCCAGTAATATTTTTCTTTCCTTATTACTGATAAAGATCATTGTGTAACATTGGGCAATAATAGGCCTGAAGTTTATTATAATATAATATGTCGCTTATTTATAATGTTTGTTAGAATTAATGGATTGTTGTGTCATACAATGTCAATTAATTAATTAATTAATTACCTCGCATAACTATATTATTGTTCGATTTCATTTTTTTTTTTCTTTTGCACACTATCGCATGTATTATGAATTATATAAGCACGTCAAAATTAAATGTCATTTGTAATTGTACGTAAGCGTTTAAGAATCACTATCTTTATGTCTAACTAATTGATTAATTCTTTTAGCATTGCTTATATTTTTGGCGATCTATCTAATTATTGGAATAGGACAGCAATTAGTTTCAAATGTAATTGGATTCATGTATCCAGCCTATTCTTCGATGAAAGCCATAGAATCGAAGCAAGCAAACGATGATACAAAGTGGCTTACTTACTGGGTAGTCTTTGCTGTACTCACTATTATAGAATATTTCGTGGACTTTATTATCGGATGGTTTCCAGTTTATTGGCTTTTTAAGGTATCTATTATGTTTTTATTAACAGTTTTTATAAACGTACCGTTAGCTAAGTTAACGGTGCATTCTTAACATATTCGTTGGGCCTTAGTTTTGTATTATTACCTGATCGTACTCTAAATTGTGTAAATTTTCCAATATCTCTTACAAATTTCATTGATATTTCATAATTGTCACAGGCCCAAATTTACAGCCTCGCTTGAAATAATATTTGACAAAAGCATGGCCATGACATTGTTTAAATATGCCATTTTTACTTGAATCGATTGAATTAAATTAAACAAAGAATGCACTTTAATATCTTTGATTTGACATTATTTTAGAGTTTGAAAATGCATTATTGGAACAAATTGTATATTATAAGAATGCAAACGGTCGTATGAACTGCAAGCTATAGCAGAATTATCTCGAAAAATATGCGGAAATTTTCTTCATATGCCAAATATCTATTTATACTAAATATTTTGCAATGCTGTAGCTTAAACTAATGGGAATTAAATTCTTTTGTAGTGTTTATTGTATACTTGGTTGATGATACCTACAGAATACAATGGATCATTAATAATTTACCGATGTCTAATTCGTCCAAAATTCATTGCTTATCAATCAAATGTAGATTCCTTAATAAATGATGCAAAACTAAGTAAGTTATTATTTTTTAATCATCGAAGGCTTCTATTTAACCAATATAATCGCTATAATGTATGTGTCTTTTTTTTTTTAATTTTAGCTCATAGAGTCAGAAGCAGCATATTTGATTCAAAAAATGAATAAATTCCGATGATTCCAAATATACATTTTCCAAATATTAGAAAACAAGACTCGCTATAAGTTCTTCATATCCATTCCTGTAATAAATAATAGAATGACTTTAACACAAAAATCGTTTATATATTCTCAAGTAATTACAAGGATTATCTTTAAAGATCTTCAAAATTGTGCTAACTGCCAACACTTTCTTTATTCATACTTATTTCTATATTTTATGTAAGAGTTTTCAATTTCAACTCCGAATTAAAAGTAAATAGTAACTCTAAAGTTAATTATGCATAGTACCTATAAAATAATTAATTGTGTTTATGATGGATTTTCGACGACACATTTTATGTAAAGAAAAGTTCAGCGTGCCATTATCAATATCTATTTTGCATACCATATAATTGTATTGTTTTTTTTTCTTCTTTTTTAAATGCAATGCTAAAAGCTTTATAAAAAATTTTTTTTCTAAATTAATATTTTGAGGTGAACTAAGCAGATATCTTCTGAAAACTTATATTTTATAAACTTTCAAAATCGATATTACAATTGAATAATAATTCGCTGTTCGACTAACTTTTAATGAGAAAAGGAGATAGATTAATAAACACTCACAGTATTTTAATTATCCTGAAGTTATTTTTGATATGAATTACAAATCTCGTAACGTAATTTCACATGTAAATCTTTATAGTGTGGACTTTTGAAAAATATGTAAATTCTCTAAGATACAATAATAACGATTGATTTAGCAGAGATGTTATCGAGCGATTGAAACATATAGGTTGTTGGCTTATCGTTATGGTATGAGAAAAATAATTTAAATAATTTCTTTCGAACTCGGTTGAAACAGTTTGATTTAAGAAATTTTTATACATATTAAGGCCTCGTTTGTACAAATAGACTTTAACTTTAGTATATATAGATTCAAAATGTATACTGCGTTGAAATTGTACAAAGTTAAATCGGCTTAACAATCTCTGTGAATATGGATCGCTGCAAATTTGAATCCAGCATTTTATCTTGTCTCATTAGTTCCTCAGTTCTGATAATCCGTTTCATCGAGTGTATGTCTTTGACAGAAATAGAAAGGAAAAACCAAGTTATCAACATCGCTCTATGAATATATTTACAAAATTGTTTGTAATTATTTATACTGTACATTTCTTTATAATGGAACTTCTCCGCCGTTAGTGCTAGTTTACGAATATGTCGTATTGTTGTTGCGGCGGCTATTTGGACTTCGGGATCGTCCGACCCAACTAGGCGAAGTACGTGCTACAACACGGAGAAATGTTATTAGCGTTATTCTTAAGTGACTATGATAATAAATTAACCGAAACACGATTTAATGACTTTTATTTTGTGTCGTCAATTAATGATATTATCTATCTCGTTGTACCTTAACTACTCCACAAGTGTGCATTGTTATGCAATTCGAGGGATCCTTGCTAAGGTGATAGAATGCAATTGACACTCCTTTCAACACTTCCTTATTCGTACTCGTTAAATAATTGACTAAAGGCGCAACCGCGTTCAACCTCCCGAACTCGTAATTATTTTGGCCCCATTCGCTACAAAAAGCTATCGCAAGTGTCAAATTTGCGCGTAAATTATCGTCCTCCTGCAAAATTTTAATATAACCAATTGTTAATTTCTCCTTCGATACAAACAAATGCCAATTGATCGATCGTGCATCGTCGACAAGCTCTGACGAACTCCTAGTAAATAAAATAACAATCACTGCCCAAGAGCTAAAGAGCATTTACATAGAATTCAAATCAAAAAGTCATTCGCCGTTAAAAAAGACAAGGACGGATTGACCTCAACTCCTCATACGCACCGTATGCACCAGATCGGCGAGCTTCCTCACGACCCCGTGATCCGTGAGGATGCCGAGGTTCTCCGCGTCCATGGCGATCTCGGCGATGATGGCGCATACCGCGCTCAGGACCTCGTTGTTCTCGTTCTCGAGGAGGCTGGCGACGAGCTCGAGGCCCCCAACGAAGGCGCGCACCATCTCCGGTGAATTCTTGGCGTAGCGGATGCAGGGCACGAGGGCGAGGCAGGCATTCCGCTTCACGACGTCGCTCGGGTGCTTCAGGAGCGACCAGACTAGCCTCACGCCGTCAAGCTTGTGCTCCTTATCGTTTATCCGGTCCATGCATTCCTCGTTCTGCGCGCACTCCGCGATCACCAGCGGGATGTTCTCCAGCAGGGGCTCGTAAGTAGCGCTCAGCAACTTTATCTGTGAGTAAGGGCCGCCGCCTCATATGAAGTTGTCTCGCGCTACTTACTCGGGAAGCGCGGAGTTAAGGCGCTTTAGCTAAGCGTTGGCCAAAGCATGTTTGTTTTTTGCCGGACCCTCGTGTGCGTTGGCTTGTGCTCCTTGTGATAGGATTTCAATAGTTTTTGTGCCGCATGGAGGAAATGGCGATACGCATTGAGCGATCACGTGCTTAGGGGGTTGTGGAGGGAGGGGCAATGACGATGATAAATCGTATGTGATTTTAAATTGTTTAAAGATGGTCGTTGGTGGTCTAGTTAGTGGGTGGTTGCATTGGGATTCCGATACAAAAATTCAGCAACAAAAACTTTAAATTTTACACAAAAAAGTTCTACGCTCTTTTTTACAGCGATGTTGTAACTTAGTGAGGATAATTGCATTAAGTATTCCTCGTCGACGCGAGTATCCGATTTAATGAATTATCATAAGCTAATCTCATCGACTTAGATAAAACTTAAATGCAAAAGATGTAATAAAGTCATTGGGACGACTGACAAGCTTTTACGATAATACAATCGTAAAAACCGCTCTGATCAATTGCTTTAGTAAAGTACGTGTGAAATGTATACCAGTTTGGGAAGGCCGTTATTGGACGTAAGGATGGTTCTATTCTCTGGATCCTTGCAGCACTCGGCTAAAGCACCAACTACATTAGTAAGCACATCTTCGTCTTCGTTCTCGCCGAGAAGAGGCTCGAGTGCAGAGACCAAATTATTTTGATTGAATCTTACGACATTTTCAGGACTCATTGCTAATTTCCAGAGTGCGCCCGTTACAGCCGCTAATAAATTCTTATTTTCGTGCACCTTGAAAGATATTAATTTATCATTATTTTCAAATCGAGCAAAAACATTTTGAGGAAAATAAATTAGTCCTTTAATTAAATTTCGACTCGTTAAAAAAACAACAACAACAACAATAATATACATACGCGCGCGCGCGTGTGTGTGTGTGTGTGCGTGTGCGTGCGTGCGTGTGTGCAAATATATCGACTAATTCTTCTCGTCGGTGAGTAAAAAGTTATCAAATATTTTCTACGATGTGCACATGCCTTTTCAATATCAATTAACATTGGTGAAACATTGATTAAAAAAATACTGGATAAATTTCGGCATACGTTACCGACGCATTTCCAGCTGCACATGTATTTTCAATACATTCGGGACTTATATATCTATTAAGTTATATTATGTTAATGCAACAATAATTTATAAGTTTATTAATGCAAAGAATGTCACATAATTTTTCCATATTTGCTATACACCATAGGCAAATTCGTTACATAATTGTATTATATAGAATTAAAAGTGAAACTAGACAAGTCTCGCTTTAAAAGTACCATTGAAGTAATTTAAAATTTAAAATTCCTTAAAAGTTCCTGCAAAGTTCACGTCGTTCTTATAATTCATTTTCATTATTAAAATTTTGAAAAATATTCAAATAAGAGTTCTTACACATTTTACATTTCTTTGCAGTTATTAAAGAGACGTGAAAATAGGCAAAAATCATTTCTTTTAAAATCATTCAAAAGATACTTTAACATTTATAGTAAAAATACAATGTATTATTCCATCAATAATGATATAACTAATTAAAATATACGATATATCCTCTTCAAGATCCCAGAGCAAAACGAGCAAATGTAATTATGAAAACATTTTTATGAACTTTGGTTCATTGTTAAATGTAGATGTACCGCGTGTGTCAACATGAATGCCAATGTAAATAAGCAAATAGCATCAATACATAATGCATGCATGTAGAATGAAATTTCAAACTTCCGAGCTATAGATTTGTACAATTTATTTCTTTATTTATATGTGAATTAGACTCAATATGCCAACATTAAGCTTTTTTGGTTTTTTTTTCTTGCACTAGACAGAATAGACGACACTCTATCCCTTACGCTTAATTTGAAAAGACTTATCCGTCACCTTTCAAACTTTTTTGTAACTTGTACTTATTTTAATTTGTAGTTAAAACAACAATTGAACTAAATTACCGGCTCATTTAGTAGAATATTGAATAAACAGTAGCAATAATTATATTTTACGTTGTGCACCGTCGCGGTAGTGCTTGAATCGTCCACAATTGTCATAACGCTCGCGAAGTCTTATTTTCTCCTTTCCTTTCTCTTGCACATAGAACTGTAATTAAAATTCCAAACACGCACTCACTAATTTATGACTTTTAATTTTCCAATCTGTCGCGATGACAAAAAGCTATGAATTCTATTTATGCTTGCACAGGCAATTCATTGCGAGCGATTGATTTCATAAATTAGTACGTTGAAGTACAATTTTGCAAAAATATATGTCATAAATAATGGTTGCCCTAAAGTATGTAATAGCAACGTTGCCTCTCCTCTTTCACTCGGCATAACTAAATTCTCTTGGTTGCTCTGTCGGAGATAAACATTGAGCGAGCGTTTGTTCCGCTTTGGCACTGCCAAACTTCTAATTGAATGCTTGTCCGGGATTTCGACTTAGAAGGATGGATTATTGCCGTGGGAAGGGCAGAGGACGAAAGCATGTCTGTTTCAAATTGCCTCCTTAGCAAAACGGCTTATATCCTCACTGGCGATAGCGTCTAAACGCTTGCGCTCCGTTATCGCCTTGAATAGGGCGGATTACATTGTGATGCCGCGGGATAATTAAAATGCGAGGAAAATTCGTTTAGTTAAGAGGCATTACGAGCGAGGAGAAAAGCCCCTAATGAGTCCTTATGAGCGATAAGGGAGCTCGAGAGAGGAAAAGAAAGAGCTGACACAAAGTCGCCATTCAGCGTTCGGCCTCCTCTGCCGATTCTGCAATACGATATTGCGGTTCTCGTCGAGGACTTGCTGATCAGAGGGGACCGTCGCCCCGGGAACTCGTTGCGCTCTTTTCATACCCTCGGGGTGAAATTGTTGTGTCTCCATCGTCGAGCAGCTTCCTCCCCGCTTCAACACCCCATTTTTGGCCCAAAGAGCTTTGCCACATCCGACGCGTCTCCCCTTTAACAGCGGCGATGCCTTATCCACTTTCCTTTGTTTATTCTCCCAACCTTATTCTTTCGCCGTATTAGTCTTTTCTTGTTATCTCTTTGCATTTTTCGCCAAAGTATACGCGACCCTCGGAAGCAAAGTAAGCATACACCACGAGGCTTCTCGATCCCAATGTATGGCGCATAAAAATTCTTTCTCTCACCCTTAATATTCGAATATCACTTTAAATACCACGAATCCTGATAATCACGTTGCAATGTGAGTCCGGCGGAATATGTGAAATCGATATGCTGAATTAATAACATTTGCAACATCTGTAACTACATCATCGCACGTGGGATATGAAAGAAAAACAGAAACAAAACAAAAAAAAAAACAAAAAAAAAAGCAAAAAAGCATGAAACTGTACTAGGGTCGTGGTTAAAGGTGATAAAAGTGATAGCGGGAAGGCTCATTGGGCACTTTATTTCGAAACATTAATACCAAGTGATAACAATAATAATAATAACGATGATACCAGCTGTAGCCGAGTATGTAATCCCATCTTAATCTCCCGTTTCACCGTAAATGACCGTACCGTTACCCCAGGTGGGATTTAAATTTTCCATCAAAATGAGTCGTGAAGTATGGGCCACTTAATAGGAAAAAATTACGTGGCAAATATCTCGTGAACGACCATTGAGATAATGATATCAGCTAAACGATAATTAACAAGAGTATTCATAGTAATTATGAATTCAACAAACATATCAATCGTGTGTACTATTTACGTGTATTTTCTCTCACGTATGCCGAAATCTACGATAAATTCTACACACGCACGCACACATACACGCGCGCGTACGCCCTTAAGTACAAAACAATTACGCCAAGCAACAAAATCAGCGCGATCTATAGTAAATGACGATATTGTTGTACTAATGTTAATGCTTACGGCAAAATCAATGCAATGACTCAGTGTCAGAGTAAAACTAAATAATAATAATTATAATATGTGAATAAAAATAAAAATACTTTAAATTATAAAAGTCTTGCGTTATAATAACCTCTTTATTTTTAACGAGTTTGCAAAGAGGATCCAAGCCACCTGATTCACGAACCATATCCCTGGTCACCTTGTTAACGGCGCACTTACAAATTGCCAGAGCGCAATTTTCCTTCACTTTGAAGTCCTTGTTTTCCAAATGTTTCACTATGTCTATGATGATATCCATTCTTTCAAAGGCCAGTCTAAAAACTTTCTGCAAATAAAGAGATTAAGGCATTTATAGCGAACATTACTATAAATGTGCAAAAATTTCTAGCCCATTACGATGGCAATATTCAAGTGATAGAATAGTAAATTAATAATAGCATTTCCGTATGAATAAAATGTGATTTGTGTATAAGTAATTGGCAAATAATAGGTTTTATGTAAAAGCAAGCATCTATAACATAATAGATAAAGACGTACATACGAAAATTAAAAGTTGATGCTAACATAATCGACGCACGGAGAGTTTCGTATTCGTTAATCTCGCATTCTCGATTCATACGATATTATGCAAATGCAAAGATTTTAAAAGCGAGGAGTCTATTACGCCTAATAAAGAGAGAGAGAGAGAGGGGGGGCGCGTGCACGCACACACACACACGCAGAAAATTCAGTAAATATTGAAACGTACGAGATCGGAGCACTGTTGAACAGCACCCATCATCGGTATTATTAACTCGGTACTTTTGGACTTGAGGAACCGAGCGAACAAAAAAATAGCTCCGTGCTTCCTCAGCTCTTCCTTTATTTTCGGACTACTGCTCAGCGAATTCAACACCTTGGCGCAACCTATGACCACAGCCAATAACTCCTTCTCCAAATCGTCCAGATCCTCGATTCGCTTCTTAACAATCGCATTCGGCACGTCCATAATGTCCAGCTTAAATTTAGCATTTCAGAAATAATGAATAGTATTGGAGAGTTTACGTCACTCCCTTATTTGTTATTGTTATTATTATTATTATATCTCCTTTTTTTTCAATATCAATCACGATTTTATTGTTGAAAGTTCAGAGTTTAATGCATACTTGTCGACCTTGTGGGCTGCAACATCCGTTTAGCAAAAATTTTTCTTAATTTATTATGATGGTTATTTTATTTTTTTATAAAAACTTATTTTTCATACTTTTGACTTTCATCGTTTAAAATATAAGCATAAAAGACATTAAGAAATAAACATACCAGAGCGCGGCTATAACTGAAATGAAGTATGTAAAATATTCCATGGATTAGTTGCGTTTATGTAATCATAGAAAGATCAACTATTTTCTATTATCTAATGGCTACTATTAGATGATAATAATAATAATAATAATAATAATAATAATAATAATAATAGCCAACCATGTAAAATAATTCTAATAACGAGTTTACCAAGACTTGGTAGATCGTTCGTCTGCTTATAAACGTGATTAATTGCGGCTACATTTGGGTAAAATTTTCTCTTAAATGGCCCCTCGTCAAACGAAAAAAATAAATGAACGAACGAACGAACGAAACGAAACGATACAAAAAACATACAAAAAACAATAATAAAAACAAAAATGAATGCTTATTTAAGATATTGATACGGACTCAATGTACAAAAGCTTACAATTAACGGCACTCCGTTGCGAACGCGAATTTGTTTCCTGGCCTTCCTTATCAAAGCGATGTTGGCCATAGTTTCCACAGTGAGCACTTGAATGTCCCTCGCAGGATGCCTCAGAAGGTCGATCAATGGACTAACGATACCCAAGTCAATCAAAAGTCGCCTCATTTCCACCGACGATGAAATTTGTAAGAGAACGGCCAGCGAGCCAAGTTGGCACTTTATTTCCTTGGTTTCCAACAAATTTACCAGAATCTCTAAGCCGCCCATCTCGTGAATTACCTTTTGTATCACCTATGATTACATCACATACTCGTTATTTATTCATTATTCATTATTCGTTATTTATTATTTGGATTTTAAGCTATCTATTAAGCTCTAATGTTTTATTTAATTGCTTATGGCGTGAATGTGCGTGAAAAGACAGTGATCGACCGATCCATCAAATGGTTAACGATATAATTCTTAACCTAAGATTAATTAGTAAATTACGTGAAAATTTCGTTTACCGAAATTCCCATCAACTTTATTTCTTCCCATCAACAATATTTCTTAGGTATTAAAATTTCATTCGGCACTTAATAATAAGCAATACAATACAAGCCATTTTATAATTAATATTGTTTTATAAATAAAACAATCGCTAACAATGGCTTAACGAATATGCCCAATGCACATTACGACATGTTTGATTTGCATATTGGATGTGAATTCAAAATTAATTAATTACTTCGTCAAACAGTCGTGGGAGAATATGATTCTTCGTGCAATTGAATCAACATCTACGTATTATGAGATTTTCAAACTATTATTAATTATTATCGAATCCAACCTATTTTTCTTAGTTTAACAACGTTAGTTTTCAACGGCCTGTTCAAGCTGTCCAAAACTCTTGCGTTAAATAATTAAATTCTGTATGTTTTATCTTGATTTTCTAATAAGTCATTTCATAACAGATTTGGTTAAATTTAAGAAATACATCAAAATTATTTCCTCGTTTATTTATTTATTTATGAAGAATTTTGACCTCCGTTCAAAGATGATGAAGAACTTTAGAGAATAAAATTATGTAACGGCCAGTTAAAATCAAATTCGGAATTTTATTTACTTTATCTACTTTATAACGGAATTATACTTACTTTATAATTTTCCTCTAGCCATATGCACTTTATTAATAATAATTTAATAATAAAATTCGATAACCTTTATTTCATTAATAAATAAAAGTATTTTTTTTCTTTTATGTAAATTGAACGTAGCATAAGGTTATATTAAGGTAATTAAAAGCATTGAAGCTTTAATTTGTAGTACAAAGAAGTTTGTATTTTATAGATATTAAATTAGATTATCAAGTAAAATTTCGAATGGAAACAAGTCTAACAGATAATATAAATAAAAAGGAAATAATTAATAAGTTGTTTGTTTGTTTTTTTTTTTTTTATTTTTTTTTTAAATAATTGTTTGATTAATATTTACTTTGATTAACAATTAATAATCCATTATTAATAATCAAAAACATTGCTTTCTCTTATATCAAGTTATATAATGTTCCATTGCACCGTATTATATCAACGTAAATATCAAATTCACATTGTCAGTCCAAGCTACATCTTAATATTCTAAATATTTGTATTGATTTATGTAACTAGTTAATTACAATATTTTTATTAAAATCAAAAAATAAATAAATTTATTAACCAATTGGGTTTTAATAAAAATTACCGATTAAAATTATATTTTAAGATTTATATTAATTAATTATTAATCCGGGATAATATGTTAAAATACAAATATATATATATATATATATATATATATATATATATAACATATTGATGCGTGGGGATCTGTATATGTGTATATGTGTGTATCTATGCATGCATATACCATACCTTTAGGATTTGTCGCCCAAGCAAAAGTTAAATATTAAAAAATAAGTGTTCTTGGCAATGAATAGTATATTACATTTTTAAGAATATAAAAATTAAATAGCTTGCTCAAAATAATGAGCCAATTCAAATAAAAATTCTCCAATCTAGAAAAGAAAAGATAAATTAATAAAAAGAAACTATAATATACGAAGGAGATACATCTGCGGATATATAGATGACATCAAAGATCATGGACGTAAATAAAGATTACCAAACACCGCGATCCACGCGAATGCCGTGAAACTTTTATGAGATAAGAAAAGCAAGTCATAATAGTCTTGATTATAACAGGAGCGTACCATTCATCACAATGCGAATGTGATCGCGAGGAGAAGCGCAGGATCTCCGGATCACGTGATCTCATTGAGGATAAAAGGTTCGCCCCAAGTGCTCCTCACTAGGGGATATAATGCGGTAGGATAGTGCAGATGAAGATGTACAAGTTGCCAACCTTACTGCTGAGTTCGTAATCCTTGAGCAGACAGAGAGCAACAGTGGTCGCGGTCTGGTTGCCCGCTTTCATGTATTTCACGAGCTTCTGCATGTGCCAATACTCGCTCGGTACTTCCGCGTTTACTTCGTCCTTCAGCTTCCTGCTCTCGTCCTCGCTCTCGGATTCCGCCTCGTCGTCCGAACTCTCCTCCTCGGCGTGCTCGCTTATTATTTTTACCCTCGGGCCGAAGGGTTCGCCCACCACCGTCGACACGATCCCTGGCTTTAAGCTCCTGTCCGTTCCTGTCGACGCCGAGCTGCGGATGCGTAGGTTAACGTTTATCACATAAATCAGCGTTAATTTTCAATTGTCGAAAAGTCTCAAGGAGAGATGATTATATCATTTTGATTTCTTAAGCTTAGATCAATTTACGGTCTCTTGAAAGACGCATTGCAGTATGAGCTACGTAGCTCGTAACGCATGTTTAAAGTAAATCTTCAAAATTCTAATAATTTGTCTGAACTTTGCAATTTTCATAGACTATATAAGATCAATTATATAAATCAATCGATATATATTCAATTATCGCATTGGATTTACATTAAAACTTGACCTATCAGTTATTATCAAAAGCATTAAGCTACAATCCATTCTTAGCAATATTTTAGTCGTTCCAATCGTGAAAAAATCCCATATGAAATGATAACGAACGAATGAACGGTGACAGTGTAAACCATATGATTTTCTGCTATTTTTCAAGTTCATGGTAATCATTTTATGTTTATTAGTTTAAAGACAGTCGTCGTATAATAATTATACAGCGAACATAATTTACCGTAACGTGTACGGAGCGAAACGCATAGACAGACCAAACACGAAGAGAATATTAATGTGCAATAGTCATCACAATGATATATATCATTTTAATATGAGATAAGACTTAAATTATCTTAAACAAAGCCATAATAGAAGATTATGAATTACTTATATTTGGATTTTGGAGTTGATTAGCCAGTACTAATAAATAGTTTACGTGTCGAATTATTATTATAAGACTTTCTTAATGTTTTTCATATGTTATTATATAAAATAGATGACTTATTAATAGTTATATTTATTAATGGTTTTCGAAAGCCAATGTCATAGGTATATAATAGTAAAAGAAGAGTACTTAAAGTGTATTAAACTACAATAATTGATTAAAATATAAAATAAAAAATTATTATGTTGAGATAAACGTGGGAGGGGTAGGGGAAGGGGGGGGGGGAGGAGAAGGAGGATCAATCTATATAAATAATTTTTAATTTTAAATTTAAATTTATGATAATATTGAGAATATTTATTATTGAAATTTGATTCATTCGCTTATTTTAGAGGCATACGATTGATTCGTAATAAAATCTTGCATCATTCTTAGCATGAATTACATAGAGGTTATATATAAGTAGTAAAATTTTTTACAAATAATTAAATATCATCTACACTTACTCAGGCATTGCAAAGTCCATTGCCCCTTTCTTTTTTGACATAATAATTTCTATACAAGTTCACAAAAATTCTAATTTAAGCACTTATTAAAACTAATAAATTGTATGAGTTTATTAACAAAAACAAATATGAAATACATCGCCAAACGTGACTCGACTCGATATTATGAGGTGTATTGATCAAACAACTACGGTGATATTTTCCAATGGAATAGAAAGGAAAGTTCAAAGATATACTTATTTCTTCAATAGCATATGCAAATATTTCAAATAAAATATTAGTGCAATCATTATATTAATACATTATAGTGTATAAAAATCCAATGTTAATTAATAATTCATCATTTGATAATTGTGATATATTTGTTGTGAAAAATAATTTAAACGATATTTGTATATACTATGGTTAAATTATCAAATTATTCGCTGTGATTGGAAATTCATTTCATCATTTCAACATTTATAGTAATTAATTTAGAATAAAAATTGGATAGTTGCAAAGGCCCTAATAACGACTTGCACGCTGTTGCTTTAATAAAGAGAGAAAAATTAAAATCATAACGACTAATCGGAAGAAGTGTTGTTGTGAAAATTGTGATAAATGAAAGTTTTTACAAAATAAATATCAACTGTCGGTTATATTACATCAGTATATTCGTTATATTCGTTAAATAACCAGAACTAAATGTACAATGGACAGATATATTGTTGCACTTGCAAAAGTCAAATATACATAATTTAAAGTAATGAGCGATTATTTTACTTGATATATTTAAATAATAACGAACTGTTATGAAATAATAGCGTAAAAATTTTACATACGAATAAATGTTTAATTTTAGATTAATAATAAGGTGCTTTACGAAGATATATTACGTAGACATTAAAAATAGCCGAAAATTATTTCATTTGTTTGTAAACCATTTCGAGATTCTGTAAAAAACGAACGAACAAACAAACAAACATTCAAACATACAAACAAACAAAAACATAAATATATAATTGTGATGAAATAGTAGATATGCGAGAGGATCGATGAATCGTTTAAAAAATGAATTCGACCACGAAAGAATAGGAAAAGCATAAGTAAAGCGAACGTATGGGTGAGAGGTTCACACTTCACTTGTTTGCTTAACAAAGCAGGAAGGCCATCTTACTTATACACTTATAATTAAAATCCAATATGGTAATGACTTATCGCTCAATAATATACTTAGTTCGTAGATAATATAATTTTTATTAGTCATGCACTCTTAGTTTGCAACTCGAAGAAATCAGAAGATTTCAGGACAGGAAAAAGGAGACATTCGCAGTGAGATAATAATCCCGATAACGACTGAAGATAAATTGTTCGCCGGGAGGCCGAAGCTTCGTAATGACGATCCCGATGCTAGGCAAAGCGGATCGTGTATTTTGTCGTAATTAGACTGTCGGCCAGGAGGAGTCGAGTCAAAAGGTCAGGGCACACAAAAAAAGTAAATAAATTACGGCATTCCGTGCGTTATTCCTTATCGTAGCTTCGCGTCTCCTTGCTCCTACGTCATTTCACGCGTCAAACTTTTAATTATACGAGTATCGCGGTCAGACACTTTATACATTAGTCGTGCCGTTATTAATAGATTTGTTATTGCTGACGCAATCGCGCATCTTGATAATTATAATAATCCAAGCGTTGGCAATGATGACCGAAATATCAAATGTTGTGAGTGTGGTATAGGAGTAAAAATTACGAATTGACTAAATATTGAGAAAATATCGTCTAATTACGATTTATTTTTCAAGTTAATTTCACGTCGTTTATTATCCATTATCCGTGCATTAAATGTAAAAAGCTAATAATAATTGGGCGAAATTTCACTTGACGCGATGTTAAAGTAATAATAACAAGTATGCTTGATTATACATGGAATACTGATAATTGCAAGGAATTATGGCAGGAAGAGTTATGAAATTCGACGAGCAATTTAATTAGAAAAGTAATGAGCATTTTATTATGAGTTGTTATTGGTAAGTTCGGTTTACTTTGTAAGCATAAAGTATTATTGTCAATGCATTGTAGTCCGATAAAACATTGGATTATTATATGATTAGAATTTGAACTTTTAATGTCCGGTAAGTGTAGGAAGAACTTGGATGGGGAAGGTCGAATAAAGAAAAGCTAATGATGTCGATGATCTGCGTTAATTTATTATCACCTTAACGTTACTACAGTGTTTACTATAATAAGAGCTGCGCACACATAACTCTCGCACCCTTATATCATGCATCGCAAATTATAAAGGGAGACGAACGATGTTAAAGATGATAAGTAACATATATGCGCGCGTTTATGATAGACCTCGAACTTCATCGTATTCAATTATTCTTCTTGTTTTTCTTCATCTTCATCTTCATCTTCATCTTCATCTTCATCTTCATAATCGTCATCATAATCTTCTCTTCTTCTTCTTCTTCTTCTTCTTCATCTTTTTTTCATTTTTTTTTCTTCCTTTTTTTATCGTATTCCGTGTACACGTGTGCTCTTTTTTGTTTATAAACTTTTTCACTCATAAATAATCCGGAATCTCGTCAAAAGTAATCGTTAGGAACTTTGTTCTTTGCGCCGAGGCGACACGTCTCGTTTACGCGCAGGTACTTTTTCACAATTTTCAATTTTTTTTGTATTCATTTATATTTTGTAAGTAAGCGACGTGTCGATTCGCACGGCCAATTCTTAAACTTTATATTTATCGATATAATAATCGTAACCATAATATAATCATACTAATTATATAATAATAAAAAATAGACGTCAATGTACAATCATTTAGGCGAAAATGAAAAATTAAAAAGGAAATTATTTAGCTTTCGAGAAATACTGGCCGTAATTTGTTCATTCCATTAAGAAGTGAAAAATTGTGTATAAAAAAAAATTAATGTAATAGCAGCCTGATTAAGTGAATAACTAAATATTGAATGTAACACACAATAAACATCACTATACTGGCCTTAAAAGACTGACGGTGTCGTTTTCTCTTTTGCCTTAAAATCTAAAATCACGCGCAATCGTTGTATAACGATTTGGAAGGGGCAAAAAGAAATGAAAATCGGAAGTGACAAAAAAAAAAAAATCATGTAAAAATATATATATATATATCTCTAATCGTAGCGTAAGCTCAAAATTTACAGAAAATAAAATCATTTTATAATTCAAGCAAATTTGCCTTCACTATCGATTATTGCCGAATATTATTTTTTTTGAAACTGCATAAATAAAAAAAAAAACAAAAAAAAAAAAAAAAAAAAAAAAAAAAAAAGATTCGGCACTATTTCCTATATACTTTTCGTAAGAAAAAAAAATTAAAAAAAAAAAGATAAATAATAAATCGTTGGTCAATCGAGTCTCACTTGTATATTGGAAATTTTTTAGAAATTTTTTTAGAATTATGCACAAATCCATTGATTCAGTTTGTTGTCGATAAACATCAAGCAAGATTCGCAACTTATAAATTCATATATAAAACCTTTTAACTTCCACGTTGAAAATCATTTTAAATCATTTTAAAAATGCCTTTCTCTCCATATTATTTATATTTCAGCATAGCTCCACCCGTTTTCCTTAATTTCACTTGCATACACTCGCTCGTCAACCTCGCCTCCTCGTATAATGCGGCTCCGATCAGGAAAGTATTGCTCGTTTTTATAATATACCTATATCGCACAATATATCATTATAGATCATAAATTTTCTCTTACTTAAAAAGTGCATCTCTTAGTATTTATTTTTGTTGCTTTGCGTACTTATTTTCTTCATCTCGTTAATTCTTTCTCGCTCTTTGCAAAACGAAGCAGCGACATCAAACAAAACGACGGCGGCGGTCCTCATAAGGCCCGTGCTACGGTACCGCATTATTTAACAATAAATTCTTCGTGGTTCATTAATCATCTCCAACTTCTCTTTCTTATAAGACTTCAATAGAATCATTCTCGTATATAATTAATTTATGAATGATTTA